CCGCCTCCAACAGCACCCTGACGAAATCGGAATCTCCCTCCTCGATTTTTCCGTGTAGAACCGCACAAATATCGACGTCTCTCGAACTACTAGGGGGGTTTTTATCAAGCAGCAGCCTGGCAATATTAAATCTGCTACGCTTGGCGGCACGTTTGAAGTCGTCAACAGCGGCGCCATGGTCGAGGAGCAACTTGACGACACCCTCATGGCCGAAATCGCAGGCATAGTCTAGAGCTGAATGATAGGTACGAGGCTTGCTTTCGATGCGGACCTTGCGATCAACATCCGCGCCGTTCTCGAGAAGCATCTTCACTATGACCTCATGACCCTTGCTCGCCGCTTCCATGAGCGCTGTGCGACTGCGGCGACTTCTCGGTTCTGTTTTCGCTCCATGAGCAAGGAGGTCTTGAACAATGGAAACGTATCCCTTAGATGACGCTATAAACAAGGGTGAATCCCCATATTTTCCTGTCGATTCAATGTGGGTGCCGTGTTGAAGCAGTAGCCTAACAATCTTCTCGTACCCGTTCGATACAGCATGATAGAGGGCAGACATACCGTCCTTGTCCTTACGGTAAGTATCAACCCAGCCGGTTTCGAGCAACATCTTGACGACACCTTCATGTCCCTTTGTGGTTGCCCACCAAAGAGCTGTGTGGCCCAGATCATCCTCCTGATCCGGATGAACCTTTCCCAAGCCAAGGAGTAGTCGAACAACGGATGCATGCCCATGCTCAGCGGCGCCAGAGAAGAGTGACGCGTAAGTTTCCGTCGTCAAATGCTCTCGGATATCCTTCCTAGCCAATAGTTGGCTGAGTAAGACCACACGACCGCAACTTGCAGCTATCGACAACAACTCGCCAGGGCTTGAGGAGGTATCTGTCCGAGCCAGAAGCTGCCACACGATCCCTTCGTGGCCTCGCTCCGTGGCGTATGTGATTGGCGGTTGACCTTGCGTGCCTCCCGAGTTGATATCGACATTGCGTTGGTCCAGCAGCAGTCTGACAATTCCCTCATGCCCAGCCTCGGCGGCGAGGGATAACGGGGTGCGGCCCTTGTCATCATAAAAACCTGGGTGGACGTTGGGGAGAGCCAGGAGCCGCTTTACCTCAAACTCACGGCCTTGGGCAGCGGCAAGGGAGAGCTGTTTCTGTTTGTCCTGTTCTGTTTCCTCGTCTCCGTCACTCTTTCCGTCATTTGACGCCTCGTCACATAGCCGTGATTGGTCATGTTGAATTTCGCCATTTGATGCCCTTTTGGGTCGTTGACTCAGACCTCGTAACCTAATGCACAAGCTTCTAGTAGGATATTGCGCAGGTCTGAATTTACTCAGGTTGATCAGGTCGAACTCCTCGCTTCTGCATCTCTCAAAATGCTCCATCGTCATGAACGAGTCGCGCAGATAAATCGCAACCAGCTTGTCAGAATCTCCGACCCCGGTGCAGGACAGGACGGCAAGGCCGGTGCCTTGATCCCCCAAGCCAATGAAGGGAAGTTCCAGGTGAGCTCCCTTGTTCGTAAGGGTGAAGGGGCTGTTGTAGGGCACAAAGGGATTCCAGGGCACGATGTTGCCAGAGTCTTTGAAAGCAGCCGGGCTGACTGCTAGGAGCCCGCCACGGCTGTTTGGACACTTCCACGCGAACAGGCTGTGGTCGTCCGAGACTCGCATGATTTCCTCTTGGAGTCTAATAAAGGCCTTCTCCCCCTCCCCGTACAGCAGTGGCATGTTGATGTTGAATATTCCCATCAGGCAGTAGGCGAGGTCTTCTCTCCTTGTGGTTCTTCGGTCCGCTGCCCATGACATTCTCTGGGCAATACTGGCGGCCTCTAGATCTTGGTTCCCCAAAAGGATGGCTCTCGGTATCCGGGTGCGTTCTGAAATGACTCGAACAAGGGTTGGGTTGGCTTTGGTGCCTAGCTTTTTCCATGTCCGACTGAAGAAAATCATTGACGACGGGGCAATCAGCTCTTGCAGGGTCCATCCTCTGGTGAACCACTTGCTGCTAGAAATCCCAGATAGATCAGAAACATCTGCGAGAAAGGCATAGCACACAGCGGCCTCCTGGTACCAACGATACATTGAGTTGATAGCCTCGGACAACTCGGCGCTGCTAGTCTTGTCGATGCAACAGGTATCTAGCCAGACGTAGTCGAATCCGTTCTTACGGGCCATAGAGCAGCTGTCCTTGACCTTTGCCCATCCCTTTTTGCTTGTCGCCTTGCCAGACTCCATGTCCTGGAAAGTCACCTCCTCTGCCTCCCAGGTGTGAGACAGGATGGCGTACGAAGGGATTTGGTCATCGCCAAAGGACTCGACCACGATGGTTTGTGTATTGAGGAGGCGCATGCTTGTTGAGCGTGTGAAGCGGGCGCCGCAAACAGTCAGTCTGAAGATTCTGGAAACAAATTCAAGTCAGTTTAATAAACAGAGGTTGAAAATGAGCAATCTTTGGGGGAGGGTGGTCATGTCGTTTCAGGCCCTCAGCTGCACAGCCTCATGCACCCCAGCAAGGCTGCCTGTAGGAAGCCAGGTGTAAGCGCCGCGTTGCAGTTGGTCGAGACATGTTGGATGGATGTAAAGATGGAGCCGCCTGAAGAGTTGTAAGTATCCTGAGTGATGTTAAATCTTACCCGAGGAAATTCATCAGTCAAAGTTGTGGGCATCAAGAGTTGTGAAGAAGAGAATGGCAAGTGCCATGTTTTTCAGGCGACAGGATTCTGTTAACCGAGTTCTTACGAGGTACCCGCAAAACCACAGCATATAGGTAAGGCTTATGATCATAAAATTAAGCTTATATGTAGAAATTAGAGAATAATTTGTTTATTTTATATTTATGTTTACTTATTTTACTCTAAATTCATTCTCCATAAGCGCAGTGAAGAATCACGCAAAAAGTTGACCATAAATTTCAGTCCAACAGATATTCTGGCTTAGATACCGCTCCATTACAGCACATGCCATCGTCACGCTATAGCTCTCACCTAACTGATAGAGAGCGATGCAGGCAAGTGCTTCTTCATAGAATGTTTCTGGCTGTCATCTGTGCCTCAGTAATGGGGTCGAAAGCCAACCTCCGAAGGGCTAAATGGCGATGGATGGAGGTGTGGTTGAAACTCGTCCCATCTCCGTCAGCTTCAGTGAATGGGATCCTCTCGATAGCAAGTGGTCGTTCCGAGGCAACTTTATTCCACGCCTTAACTACCTTGGGCATCAAAACAAACTGGCTTTCAACGAAGCGCCAGGTTATCGTAGCTCGGTGGTTGTCTTGGGTATAACGGAATAAAAATCCAAATCCATGACCGGAATTCCATATCTCCAAAATCCGGATTTGAGGCATCTTCATTGCTGCTCGGGCAGCAACGACTAGGAGATCTGTCACAATATCTTGTCTTCCGCGGGGATGAAGATATGTTGACCTGATGGTGAGGTGCTGCAGTTTCGACTCTGTATTCCTCTCGCCCTGGGCAACTTGCCATAAGAACATTAAACTCTTGAACATCAAAGGGGGAGACAACTCAGTAAAGCGATGGCATGATGTTGCCATAAGCCGCGTTAGACCTTTGAATATCTTGGGAACGGACGAGGACTTGCACGAGTCCCACCTCCAGCATTGTTCGAGGGAGAAGCGCTTGACGCTAGGGGGGAGTGTGGGCATCAGCCAAGTTTGCAGATCTGGATTCACATGTTAGTCTTCTTTTCGTAAGCAGAAAATGTCCCATATAACGTTAAAACGTACCGTCAAACAATTCAACCTCGTTTTTTACTGTCTGCCCTATCCATCTTTGCAAATAAAACGACTCCAAGGCCACAAATCTTTCGCGGAGGAGTGTAGCAATCGACTCGGGGGCAATCCCCCTGAAGAATGACCGGCGTAGAACGAGTCCCTTTACTATCGGGACACTTGGGAGATTGTTTGCCGAACCTGCTGTGCCCCCTTTCCGTCTTTGGGGGAGAAGCTCAAGTGGTGTCCCTCGGAGTCGCCGGGCCGCGGCACGCCTTTCTCTGAGTGGTACGGCGATTGATGTCACACGCGCTGTCTTTTTTCCCCGGAGATATTCCAAAAAGGATGGCCAGTCCTCGAGGTCCTCTTCAAATCGTATCGGGTAGTCGTCGTGGACTTCTCCCTCGGAGCGGTGGAATATCTGGTCGCTAGGCGAATGCGCGTTGATCTCTAGCGTAAGACCTCCACGAGTCCCTTCCCACGATGACAGCGAGTTGAGCAGAACTGTCATGGCGGACGTAAAGCTACGGTTATTCCTATTTGTCGAAGTGTCAGCACCACCGCTTGCAAGTCCAGGGATAAAACGTGAGTTGCCCACTCTTTGATGTTTGTTGCGCTCTCAGGCTTATCGTAGATACGTTTGGTGTATTCAGCAAGCGTGATGCGCAGGTACAGATTCCTTATGTAGCTGAGCCTGATGGCATTCTTCCCTCGAACTGCTTTAGAAAATGCCGGCAGGTCTGGAGAAGCAAGAGCTATGCGCCGAAAGGTCTCCCCCTCGAAGAAGGATTGCCATTCTCGGGAAACAGTGGCCAGGGAAGACGCTCTGGCGGTTTCTTTACCTTTGAATTTGAGAGCAATGCATCGCAGGATCAATAGACGAATCTCGGGGGGCAGGGAGTTCCAGAAAGGTCGGGACCGTCGGGCAGTGAAGGAGCCCATCGTTACGAAGATGAGAGTAGATCAGGTTAGATTTCAATGTGAAGAGGACAGTACGTCTGGTAACCGAATGAAACCAGAGGCCAAGTTTGAACAAACTTGGAGAGGGTTGGTTGAGTCAGTGTGACTCTTGGGGATGCAGAGAGAGAGGTTATGTTAAACAAAGTTTGAGGAACGCATGTCGTTGCATGGCTAAAGGCAGAAAAGACAAACGGCATTGCCAAGTGCTGCCAACATGCGCTTTCAGAATTGTCATATTGTAAATGTAGGTATTATAACGTCTAGCTAGGTACGACAAAGTATAAAAAAAAAGCGCATTGAAAAACTGGGCAAAAAAATAACCCCTGGCGAGGATCGAACTCGCAATCTTCTGATGATCTCGGTAGAAGTCAGACGCCTTAGCCATTAGGCCACAGGGGCCACTGGTCACGATTGGTGAAAAAAGGACTTGTGAAGCAACCCCTCCGACATGACGCAATCCCCAGTCCCTCCATCTCGAAGCTGTCTAACAACAAATGACAGACAATCTCGCTGACTCGCATGACACTGATTTCTTTTCCATTCCGAATTCTTGGTATGACAGTTTATTAGGGAAAAAGTGTGGGTTACCAGTCACTATGACGAGGTATTATTCCTAATGGTTGACAAGTTGGGTATCTTAACCTTGAAGCTATCAGATATTATCTGCTATTTGAAATCTCTGTATAAATTGGCGTCATTTATGACAGCTTCTTCCTGAATTATCAAAGACGAGCAGTTCAAGAAATACAGCATAGCAGATGCAGAGATGCTTGCACGGGCCACATGGTGGAAGCGTTGAGGCTCGTTGAGTTACACCAAGTCGAAGCGTTTTTCTTTGGAAAGACATGAATATGAAAACTGAAGCTGAAAGTTTTTATTTCTAATCTATCCGTTTGTCTATCTAACAATAGGTCTACTCGTCAACCCAGCAAGCACTTGTGTATTGCATCATTCAGAACGCGCTAGAGCTCGCAACTCTACCAACCCATAATCCGACTTGTCGGACGGACCGTGTCCCTCTCTATCCGTCCTAAAGCCCGCCAGCTCATAAATCAAGATACCTCTAGCAAATAGTGCACTAGCCATTAGCCGGAGTACAACAACAGCCGAGTCCCTAACGCTGAGGAAAACCAAACTCGATAGAATAATGGTTCCGTAGAATGCCTGTATGGCCGTTCCCACGTACAGGAACGAGACCAGTCCCAAGAACACCCCGGTTTCCTTCGTGTTGTTCTTGACCTCCAGTCTGCTCTGCCAAGGAGTGGGTACGAGTTCGTTCCAGAGCCATCTCCATTCACTGCTGCGGAGGCTCATATCATCTTTTGCCTCCACTTTGATGCGAAGTCTGGCGACGAAATACCCAACGATATGGATAAGTACCGAAGCAGCAGTCCACACGGCAGGGAGAAAGTCGACTGATGGGGCAAATGTGCAGACGGCCCAGACGCTGAGTTGGTAGGCCAGGTAGGCATTGTTCGCTACAGAAGCACAGGCTATAAAGTACTCGACAGCAGATACAACCCGAGGTGCCCAGAATGAGTAAGGGTTGCCAAAGTTGGTCCGGAAGGGATCTGTTCCCATCTTGGCGATAAAGTCTTCATATTCCGTTGCCGACAGAGGTCGCACTCCGGAACTGGACATGGCAAGCAGAAGCGCAAGCCCAGGACGGCGAAAGGCCAAGACAGCAGTGTCGACATAGGACGCGCTCAAAAGCTGCAGCACTGCTGGAGCAAGACCTAGAATGACAGTGGATGCAGCCAGCTCAGCCTTTCGAAACTCGGGCGTCGTCCTGAGGATGCAGTCGATGACCTGGTATCCGGTCTGGGGTCTTGTCAGGGATCGGTTTCGGTAGTTTGTTATCTCTTCCACGCAGTCGTTTCTAAGTTGTTCTTTGATCTGGTAGTCCCAGGCTGGGAAAAAGTGCTCATACTGGGCAAACGACCGGCCGAGTGCAGTTGCGGGAGTGACGTGAGAACAAAGGATGACGAGGACTACAAACAAGAGGCCAAAACGGCCGGCATGTATTGTAAAGCGAGGCATTTTTGTCTGTTGGGAGCTTTTTGTAGAAACCCTCATGTGCGATTGTGGTGGGCGACACGATATAAGTATATGCCGGGTTCGAAACCCGACGGATTTCGATTGCGCGGCGCGACCAACCTATCTTGGGTGAGCAACCGGTCGGATTTCCCTTTACGTGCCGGCAATTGTTCCTACCATGTCAATCTTCTCTTCTTTTGCAGGATGGGGCTTGTAGTCGGCGACCATTCGACCCCTGTCTCATGCAGGCTACGCGTTTATCACGCCTTACAAGGCCAGGCTCTGCTGCAAGGAGTTGTTAGTTATCTACATGTGCCGTGAAGCCGTTTTCCTCTTGTAAAGACAACTCATGTTCTACCCAATTTTGACGTTTATGAATTCCAAGTCTCTCTATTCTCAGCAACACACTGTCCTCCATCCATTCTGATCAGTGCCGTTAGCAAAACCCATGCCTCCCTTGTGATAGCGTCGCTTCGGTTCGGGTCGCAAGCGCCGGCCCCCAAATCCAACCCCCCCAGATGATGCAGCCACTTTTCAATAAATGGGGGCGGAAGGATCGCACATGAGTCACGCTGTGGATATCAAGAATGACCCCGTGAGAGGATCGGGACTTTTAGATCGATCTTCATTGACAGTTTGTGCCCGAATCCACGTCCACTATTCCACAACCCTGAGTCCCGGCAAGTGTCTGTTGAACTACCCTCTCAGCGCAACAGACTTCAACTGAGTCCAGTCAAGCATAGCTTCCTTGCCATTCTCAAGGCCTTGGCCGCTCTCTGGAAGACAATTAGTACCAAAACGATAAAGCCATGACCTAGACTTACGTTTCCATCCGCCCATAGGAACACTTGGATGATAACCCCCGGCTCCGTTAACGCTAACACTTCCAGCCTCAAGTTTATGAGCAAACCTCAACGCTCGTTTCATATCAGCCGTCCAGATGGAAGCTGCAAGCCCAAACTCGGTGTCATTTGCCAATCTCAGAACTTCATCATCAGTGGAAAACCTGACAACTACCAGGACGGGCCCAAAGATTTCTTCCCTGAGAACTCGAGCATTCGGTGCTGGGTCGACAAAGATTGTCGGTTCAACGTAACAACCTTGTTCCCCGACGGCATTTCCACCGGCGATGAGTGTTGCTTCTGCTTTTCCCGACTCGATATATGAAAGGACGACATCTTTCTGGCGGTGATGGTATAAGGGCGAAGAGTACGTGTTAGGCGCCACAGGATCACCGCCCAGAGTTTTCGCATGACCTTCAACCATGGCCTTCACCCTTTCGATGAACTCTTCAGCGATAGACTCGTGGACATAGAGCCTAGTTGGGAGAGCGCATCCCTGACCGTTCATCAGGAGAAACAGGGTAGCAGCCGGCAGTGCCGCCTCCAAGTTGGCGTCTGGAAACACAATAATAGGAGACTTGCCCCCAAGCTCCAATGTGACGCTCTTGAGGTTCGACTTTGCCGCAGCAATTTGGATGAGCTTACCCACGGCAATGCTTCCCGTGAAGCTGATCTTTCGAATATCCATGTGCGAAGAAAGAGCATTGCCAGCTTCTACGCCACCAACCAAGCAATTCAAGGTGCCAGGAGGGATACCAGCCTCAATGGCAAGAGATGTCATGAAGAGGGTCGAGAAGGGGTTTGTTTCGCTCGTCTTGATAATGATGGAGTTTCCACAGGCAAGTGCAGGAGCTGCTTTCATTGCGAGGGTGATAATAACCCCGTTGAAAGGGCAGATGCCTGCGCAGATGCCCCATGGTTGACGGAGAGTGTACTTCAGAGAATCAGAAATGCTACGAAATATTCCAGCGGAGAAAGATGTTATAACATACTCTGATGGAATTCTCATCCGCAGCCATGACCTCGCTCTCGAATTTGTCAATCATGTTGCCATAGTCTAAGGAATTTGTCAATATGGGACGCCTCTATCACTTGGGGGCTTCTTACAGATGAATATGTCAGCGGCGGCGTCGATCTCAAAACCACAAAATCCAGCATCTTTTCCGGTGAGAATTGCTTCTAGCCAGTGAAGCTGTTCTCGATTCTGTCGAATGAGATTGCCGTACTTTACGAGGGCATCACGACGGGCGTCCTGTATTTTGAGTTGATGAGCAAAACTCTCTTACGGTTATGATAAAAAGTCGACACTTACATTACTCATGGCCTGCCAAAGGGCAAGGCCTTTCCGAGAAGATTCGACAGCGAGATCAACGTCTCTAGCATCCGACCACTGAAGATCTAGTGTATGTCAGTTTAACCGAATAACCTCTTAACATGCTCATGCAAACCTTTTGTAAGAACTTGGTCATTTACCGAAGAAATAAGGGTGTGTTTCTCATCGCCAGTGCCGTCCACGAACTCCCCGCCGATGAAGGCGCGGACGGGGAGAGGGAAGCGGGAGGTGTCGAAAACAGGGACTTGAAAGGAAGACATAGTGGTAGAATTATCTATGAGTTGTTACTCGGTAGTTTTCGGAGTGAAGAAGGGACTTGGGGAGGGCTTTATAGTCGCACAGGAAACAGACATCCGTCGAATTCTTAGTTTCTATAGCCGTGGTGCCCCTGTCATAACACTGCCCTCTTTTGCCAGCTGGAGTCTTGCCTATCCCAGAATCATGCCTAAAAAGAAATGCATATCTCCCTGAAAATACGAGGGGAAATCTGTCGTTTACTTGCCTTTTACCCAACCGGTAGTCGGCCGGCGGAGCGCCGGCGGAGGAGCGGAGGAAGGACGGAGGGAGACGGAGGAGCCCGTTCGGCAATTCCAAGTCTGGCCTCTCAGTTACTGATAGGCAGAAGACCTGTATCTTACTCTCAAAGTGTCAGTTATTATGCCGATGAGTAAAATCGAGTTGGGTATAAATACCTGGGCTGGTAACTGCACAATCTACAGAACACCCACCATCCTCATCTATTACAACACAGCCAATCTTAAGTTGCTTTAATTTTCAGATAAACTCTCATTTCTACATCGCACATCCTAAATCTTGCTTCTATACCACCTCGCTACCTACGCAATGTCTGCCTCCCTCTTCAGCTTAGGCTCCCGCGTCTTCAGCGTCACCGGCGGCGCTTCCGGCATGGGCGCCGCAACCGTCCGCCTTCTTGCCCAGTACGGAGCAGGAGCCATATGGATCGCCGACTGGAATGACGGAAACTTTGATCAGATCAAGGAGGAGGTTGAGCGCATCAACCCTCTCACCCAGGTCCACACCCACAAAGTTGACGTGTCAGACCCAAAGCAGGTGGACGATTGGGTTGCCAGTATCATCGCAAAGTCTGGAGCTCTGCATGGCGCTGCTAATGTCGCGGGTCTGTCGCAACCAGCCTTTACTGAGAAGAAGCCGGCCATTCTGGCAGA